ACAATATTTCACAGTTGGTCAACAATGTGAACAGCTACTGTAGCTCCTTGCAGGTAATTTCCCAAAAAGTCATGTGAGAGAAGGAAGAGCTAATGATAAGATTGCTCATACTAGGATATAAGTTATTTCTGCTGTTACTTTTTAGTCTTCAAATAATTGCGTATTGGTTGAAATTGGGCTACATATAACAGCACTTTGAAAAAATTTAGTTATTTTTATTTGGGTGAATGACTGGATTTCATACTGGAATTCTATACAATCATTCATAGACATTTTATTTTACACATACACTTTTATAAATCCAAATACTTTAGATGTCTTAACAGGAAAGACTAGTCCCCAGGAAATGACATTATGTCTAGTAAAATAGAATCAGTGAAAAAGAGGAAGATCCTTAAGGAGGTCTGTCACCACTGTGGCTGCAAGAGGGAGCTCAGTCAGCAATAACTGAGCATGGCGGAGGACTTCTATGTACATATGAAGAAATAGGAAATACCAGGGTGAGGGTCAGTCTTTAAATGGATAGCCTTGCTTTGTAGCACTTAAAACAGGCCATTATCAGCAGATTTCCTTAATGCAATGAATTTTTTTTGTTTGTTTGTTTTTATACTATTGCTTCAAAGTGTGTTGATTATGGATCCAAGTAAAAGGAAATCCTTGACACTTCAAACAAAAAATTAAAATCAAGAATACTTGCTGTCATACTTTAAAAAATAATTATCCCATATCTTTGGAGCATTTCACATATTGAAACATAGAGTAGTTTAAAAACAAAATCCTATGAATACTATACTTTTATTTATCTAAAGGTAAAATGTTAATTACACGATTATGTCCATTGGTACCCAAGAAATGCTGTTGATTTTGATAAATTAAATCACGCACTCCTTTTTATGAGGTAATAAATATTTTTCATCATTAAACAAATATTTATAACAGTGATCTGCAAATGCCAAAGGTACAAATGAAATGGTTTAGAAATATACTGAATACCATTAATGAAAAAATAATTAATAATTTTATATTCTATTTTTATGGTGATATATACAGTTTAGGAATAAGACCTGTAGATAGAAAGATTACTTTGGAATGGACTTTTGTATATAACATGTTTAATGTTTTTTATATTTGTGTTTGTTCTTACTTTAATTACCATTAGTGGAGATTAACTTGTTTCTTGATGAATGATTGTTTACTCGTCACCCATAGAGGACTCTGCGGTGGACCAGTAGCTTGCTTTGTTAGTTACTCTGTGTGGATGCAATCATTAAATATTTTTGTGGTTGTGCTTTGTGCTTTATACTTCAGATAGGAAAGGAACACGTAGGCCTGAAAGCTGTGACTGAAATTCTCCAGGATATTCAGTATAAGGTAAGTCATCATTTAAAAGAAAACAAAAGTGAAGTGATATTGGATGTTCCCAAGATCACCATCAGGCTTAGAGTTGCTTGGACTCACAGACTCAGAAAAACTGTGAAATTCATGGTTGCAGTTCATTGCAGTGAGAGGACACCAATCATCATTGGCAAGGGGAGAAGACCTCCATGCTGAAGTCCAGGAGAAACTGACGGACTTCCCAGCATACCCTTCCCAGTGGAGTTGTATGGGGATCAGTTACATCTTCCACTGATGACATGCATGTAGTGTTAGCAGGGATGCTCATACAAGCATGGTGTCCTGAGTTTTTATTGGTGATAAGTGATGTAATGATTCCCAGACGAGTGACCATTGCTCTTCAGAATCCAGCCACCACCAAGATTTAAAATAATTGTTAACCATAATCACATTGACAGGCTAACCTTAGCCAGTCAAACTGGGGCAGGTCTACGAAACACTCTCATTAGACAGGATCCTCCCGGTGCTGAAAGGTCATCCCCAGACTTTCAGGTAAGTCTGACTTTGGTATGTTCCCGAGTTTGAGCAGCCCAGACTAACGCCTTCTGTTCACTGCTTATAGGAAAGTGGTATAAAGAAATAAATAAAAATTGAAGGAACTGTATTTCAACTCCCCCCCCAGAATCATAGACTAAACGTTATATATTTTACTTTTATTGTTTATCCTTATTTCTATCAGTGTATTATTAATGCATACATATGGCAAGATAGAAAAATAGGTAGATAGATTGATCAATCGAACGATCAGTCAGGTTCAGAGTTTAGGTGTCTGAACACATATACTGCTTTTGTCCAAGAAGGTTATCATGAACCCAAACCCACTGCCACTGAATTGATTCCAGGTCATGGCAGCGACCCTCCATTGGGTTTCCCAAACTGCAAGTCTTTATTAGAGGGCATTTCCCATGTTTTTCTAGAAGAGCAGTTGGTAGATTAAAACTGCCAACCTTTGTGTTAACAGCACCAACTCATAACACACTGTACCACAGGGCTCCTAATGAAATTAAAATAGAGTTGAGAATTTCCAACTGGAGACATACAACTAGATGGAAATGAATGCAACAACTTTCCACATGCAGCACATGCATCTCATGTCCCTTGTATACAAAACTATTGCATTGCCAGGAATATAATGCTATGCTGGTGGCCTGGTGAACAAGAAGTTGTGTTGAGAACTCAAAGGCATGCAGCTCAAATCCACCAACCACTTGACTGGAGAAAGATGGGTACTTTCTTCCTGCACAGTTTAATACCTCTGAAAACCCACTAGAGGATCAGCTATGAATTGGTTCTGACTTGATGCTGTTTAACAATAATGTATGTCTGTATAACCTATCATATTTGTTTTGATACATAATAAATACCTACATTACTAGTTTATGTATTTTAAATTTTTTATAATTCTGTTAATATGAACTTTCTATCCTTACAGATGAAAAAGTTTACCAGTATATGCTTCAACTTGAAGACAACAATAATCTTGTGTATTATTGTCTTTTGTATATTGTAATGTTACTGATATGTTTTTTTTAATATTTCCATCAAGTGTTTCATGGCACCCAAATGTAGCAACATTATTAGAACTTAGTGACAGTAGCAGCAAGAGGCAAAGGAGAAAAATACTTTTGGAAGCCAGACAAATGGCACAAAGGTGGAAAAGAGCACAACAGTAAATGCTGTTGCTCGTAATTTAGGCACATTTGTACACTGTACGATTCATACAATGTTCTATTTCTTAATATCACACTGACTCAGTTGAATCTGACTTGGAAGGATTAATTTAAATTTGTGTGATTGCTAGAGATAAAACCTAGATACTGGCCTCACTTTCGGGGAAGGGGTTCCTGTCTAATTGTCTCCACATGGATATAAGTCCCATGCATCCTGAGCCAAACAGGCACCTCCACGCAGGATCTCCTTGATTGACTCAGACTAAACCCACCTGCCAAGAGAAACTGCACACTAGCTGGGAGAAGCTGGTAGAGAGCAGGAGGAGGACACATTGTGATTGACAGTGGTCCATTAGACAGTTGTCTGATAAAACTTCCTTTATATCCTCACTGACTGGGACATCAGCTATTATGGGGAATGTAAGCTGGAGTCTTTAATGTAGAAATTAGTGGCTGTAAGGAAGGAAGACAGAGTTTATGTGTCCTCCTCCTGCTCTCTACTATTGAGTAGTTGAGGAGACAGAGACATCGCACTAACATGGCAGATCTGCCTGCCCATATGCCCTGAGAAATTTAAGTTCACACTATTTCTGTAGTGATCGTAACTCTCAGTGGTAGCTTTAGTGACATGGTCTGTAGTGAGCTATGCATTTAACCACATGCTGTGTGCACCTGGCTTTTGCTATTTACCAGCGGCTCCAAGGGAGAAAGATGAACCATCTCCTCCTACTTGGAACTACAGTCTCAGAGTCTTGGAAACTCAGGAGAGAGTTGTATCTCAGAATAGCAGTTAGTTTTGAGTTTGAAATGTTAGTTGATAAAAACTGGAATGAATACTTCCCTTGAAATTTAAGTTGACCAATTATTAAAAAGTTTGGAATTGCATATTTTATTCTAGAGTCAGATACTGCTTCTTGATGAGGAGAAAATACATCCTTCTTTTTGTGTTGAATCTAAATTGACCTATAGCCTGCCCTCAGGTGGGTTTTCAGAGGCAGTAAATAACACGGGAGGAGAGTGTCCATCCATCTTTCATAGAATGGCTGGTGGATTTGAACCATATGCCTCCAGGATTGCAACACAGCTTCTTACTACTAGGCCACCATAGCTCCCTAGAATAGATCCTAGAAGTGAATTAGAAAATCCAAATGGCCAACTGCCCAAAACGAGCCAGCCAGCTGGCTTCTGTGAACTCTGCAGACCAGCTAGAGGCTAGTGGGTGGGTGGGAACTTGACCTTGACTTTTCGGATCCCGTTGGATCCAGGATCCTGCTGGAGCAGGGGCTATTGTGAGAGGGCACCTGCGTAAGTGCCACCAGGCAGGGAACACTGAGA